CGGCTCTTCCCCTTAATTAAGGATCCCATTCTTCAGAGTCTACACTAAGTTGTGAGGACCCGGCTTCTCAAACTCCGATGTAGCAATGTCTCGACCAAAGACCTAAGGATCTTGAAAGCCGTGGCAAGTTGTTTTTCTCAGCCTCAATCCGATCCACAAAACAATAACGGAGCAACTGAAGTGTTTTTTGGCATCTTCTGTGACTGCCAGTAAGGTGCCGCCAGCTTTCGACAGCAGATTTTGGATGCCAGGCCACGCGTTCCTGATGACAAGGAAATTATACTCGCTTGGGCTTGGGGTTAATTTAGTTCTCGAGTGGCCCAAATTTACAACTGTGTTGGAGCGTTTGCTGTGCATCAGCTAAAAGAAGCTCACGTAGAAGATGCATGCATTTCGGTACTCAAAGCACTTTATATCTATGCCGCCTCACCTGCAGTTTGTTCAAGCAGGATTCTCAGTTGAGTCAGGGGGAAGTACAAGTACAACCGCAGGCCAAACCTGAGTTCGGAATCCGGACCCCAGTTTGTCGTGCACACGCAACTGTGCACGCCCATACCATCCCATACCTCTTAAACTTCGGATTTGGGGATTGTCATCCACACGGAGCCCGAAGCCGCTGTCGGCGTTTTGGAAAGTGGTGCGAGGATTCTTTTTCCTGAGACCAGGCATTTGGCATGCCCTGCAACGGGGAGGTTGTGTAACACCAAATCCAATTCGGGCCTCGGATTCCGAACCCAATTGTGGCCTACATAATTTATACTTGCCCCCAGAATCGCAAGGCATGCATGGCTTGCATGCACAATGTGAGGGTTTTCAACAACAAAGGCCGCAAGATCAACATATGTGGGGTTCTTGTACTTAACTAGTAACTAGTAGTAGTAGTATTAGTAGTAGTAGTAGTAGTAGTAGTAGTAGTGCATTGAAAAGTGCGCGTGGCGCGTTCCCAAAGCCTGGCAAAACCGTCGCTCCACCTATGGGTGCGGCAATTTTGTCCCCACGTCCGATTATTTACACAGGATCGGTGTACGCGCGGTTCCCCCTGTGCGGTGCATACTTTTCGCTCGCTTCCCATTATTTGCAAAGGATTCGATGTACTGTCGTCTGTGGGAGAGCCGGGTTCATCGTAAATACATTACGTGGATCATCTTTTGGGAAATGTTTGGTAGTCTGTGGTGATTTCGTCAGGTCTCCCGGTGGTCTCTTCGTGGTCTTTTGGTTGCCATGGTCGCCTGGGTATGTCTTGGTCACAGTGGTCGTCGTGGTTGTCCTAGTGGTGGTGGGCTTCATGGTCGTCCTGGTCGTCCTGGTGCTCTTTCACTGTTTGGGAATCTACGCTGGCACAGTTTGAAGTAGCTGTTCAAAGGTTGAGGATGTTGGGCTTTACTATCTAGTTCTACCTTAAATCCAGTATTGGGGAGCTCGATGGTCACGTTCGTGTGGCCAGTCCGAACGACATGATATAGCTTGAGTAACTGTCAAGCGCCTCTTGCCTGAATTCCAAGATTCGGTGCATCAGCGCCCTTTCAGCCAGCTCTATACCCCCAAGAAACCCCCCACACCCTCAACCCCTCAGCCCCATACCCATTCTGGCCTCCTCGGCGTAGCCATTGAAATCCGCTAGCCAGTTAACTGTTAACTGAATTGAGTGGAATTTGATGATGACATGCGGAACCCCTCAATTTACAGGTTCTCATCTTTATGGCTCTGTGTCTTTCGGTTCATGGCATGCAACTGTTGTTTCAATTTTTGGCAGACCTCGAACCATATGCCTCGCCTGGATTGTCCGAGTGTGAGCGCCGAAACCCCTCAGCACGGCAAACTACCATCCCATCCCTCAGACCTGGCCAGGCAAGAGGAAAACAGAAATACACCAAGCCTTGCACCGGACACCCCGAGATTCGAGCTTGGCAGGTTTATGCCGGAGCTCCACCGCCGATCCTTCGAGGACCCCCTCATGTGGCCGGGTTCCTGTCGGCGCTAGCCGGCAAGTTTGTTGAACAGGTGACCTAGGCCGTTGTCAACCTCCTGGTGGCTCCAACCAGGTATGGTGCCATAGTACCGAGCAACGGGTGTGCAGTGTTATGTCACGTGCCTGCAAAACAGTATAATATACTTGCAGCTGCCGCCAGTCGGGTTCGTATGAGTCGACGTCAAAGCAACGCCAGAATTTCTCATAAACGAACAGCCTTGATCCACACGAAGGAGCTTTGTCACGGAAGCTGGTCACGCTCGTGCGCCGAGAGCCAAGCACCCGTGTCGGGCAACCGTGCATCAAAAAGGGTTTGGTCTTCACGTAAGCGGCACTGCTTAGGACTAGGCCAGGCAGCGTGCTTTTCGCATGAGCTCGTGTGTCGAAGGTGATGTTCAGAAGTGTCTGCTCCAACAGTGCTCCGAAAACAAGATCTCTGAGATCTTCGGCTGAAAAACACTTAAGAGACTTAATTGACACTCTGATATATGACGTAATTCCAACGCGACCGGAAGCTGTGGAGCAAACAACCCAAGGAGGAAGCCTGCGGATGTATTTCCGGGAAGTCCGGGAGTCTTGGCCTCTTCAATCGACTCTCCTTCAAGAAGAGCCTTGAGCTTGACTAACCACAGAGACCTCTCTCAATAAGCAAGTTCCCAGCCTGCTTCTTAAGCCCCAATTCTGCGCGCATTTCCCTCTTCAAAAACACATTCTTTCTGCAAGGGCGCCACACCAGCCCCAACTCTGCGATTTCTAGGCTTGGGTCGCACTCTTCCTGGTGACGCCGGATTTGCTGGGTAAGGCCAGTTGGATTTTGTTTGTGCCGAAGCTTCGATGCAAAGGTTGACCAAGATCAGGATAGCATCACCCTCGCGGCTGCGGCTGAGCTCTTTCGAAACGGTCATGTAGTATCTCTGAGAAGCTCAAACGTCCCCAGTCATAAGTGCAGGAGGAGAAGGCAAGACGAGCTTTGCGCAACTTCCGTGAGGCCGCCGGACAGAAAGCACTTCCGAGCCTTGCTTCTGGAATCCTGAGCACGTGGAGTGACGGGCGGTGGAACCCGACGGCTTGAGCAGTTAGGATTCTTACAGTTGCGCAATGGTAGAAGCTTGAGGAACCGGTGCTTGCTTGCTCAGGCATGCCGAAACGCGCAAGCCTCAGTTACCGTGGTGACAGGATGCATAGAGTCGGCATGGAGCAGCTTCGGCGACACGGGGTCATGTGCTTCTGCCTGTCAGGAGCTACAGCCCTCAGTCTTTAAATTGGCTTGAATCTCCGGAGATTTTCTCGGCGATTGTTGGTCATGGCTCATCAATTCTCGAATCCCGGCCCCCTCTTCAAGTATGTCCGATCCCTACTGCTCAGGTCAAGGAGCATGCATCGCATTCGTTTGAGCCGATCCCTTACACCTCCGGGCTTTGCCTGATTTGCTAAGCAAGACGATTTGGATTTCAATATGGTTACTTAGGAAAACTTACCTTCAAATCAGACAAGCGGTTCTTCTAGAACCTCGTTCTACAGGTCCGAACGCCGGCTTCAGAAAACATCTGTGTGTACTCGGTTACATAAGAGAGCCCCATCGCTCGGGATGCGCTTGTGGAGAGGCCTCGAAAAGACACAGCCAGGCGTTTCTGGTCGAAAGATCACGAAACATCACCACGCGCTAAGTGTATCGGAAACTTCCAGATGGTCCCGCAGACATTGTTCTCAAAGCGCTTGCCACGTAGGTAGCCCCAACTTACGACACGTATGACCCGAATCACGACCTTGCTAAGTTTCCTTGGCCCCCAAAACCAGAGCTTGAGCGCTGAGGTGTTTCTGGGCCCGCCACGACGGATCCTCTGACTCGCCTTTCCATGGGCCCAGTGCTTGGTGGCACTGAAAGAGTTACAGGAGACAAAATCTAGATAGCTGCAGATCGCAAAACTGATTGTAGATCAGTGTCACGATGCCTACTTATCTTAATACGGCTATGAGACCATGATAGCTATTGCAGATGGTCATAGGCTCGGCGGCATCCATAAAGCTCCCATTCGCTGCTCCTGGGAACTTTCCATTTCTCAACCTGGTGACCTTTTGCACTTCGATCTGCCTGTGCTCTAGGAAGCAGCTGGAGAATTGGCCTGGCGCATGTAATCTCTCTCTATGTCACATGTCGCTTGCAACGTCAACTGCGCAGCCAACCTCTTCGGTAGCATCACCACTCGATACCGGCATCTTCTGCATCATTCTCCTCATCCTCATACTGTGTCATACTGGTTATTGGCATCCCGGGAACCTGTGTGGCCAACACCTTGGTCTCCAGGTTGGATCCGCAGCTGTTGCCCAGCCAACGGGCACCAGGCAAGGTCGTGTCCGCGCCGGCCCCAGCAAAAGTTATTATTTCTGGCACGTCGAGAGAGGGAGAGAGCGAGAGAGAGAGAGAGAGATTGGTTTTCAGGGCGGCGACTCTCCTTTGCTGGCCTCCTGCTAAAGCCACTTGTCATGGCCGGCGTTAAATGCCCCTGCCGGGTGCTAAAAGATCCGTGCGTGTGACTCGGGGTCAGACTCTTGTCTGGTCTGGCGTCGTGCCAAAAGTTTTTGGGGTTTAGAGGTTCGAAGGTCAAGTAGCAATGGTACAAGTAAACTTGCTATAAAGAAGCCTTCAGCAAAGAAAGTGAAGCGTGTGGTATGGCATCCGCGATAGCGCTTGTGGTGACAGCCAGCGTAACTTAGTATGTGCCAGTGGAATGAATTGAAGAAACAGTTTCGGCAACCGCAAAGACCAATGGCTGGAATGGCTGGAGAACAAGTAGAAATGGCTCAGGGGCATGCCGCACCCTCAGTCAACAAACCCGCTCCCACTCCGAAGCGGGCCCGGGGGAGTGCGGAAGAACAAGCGGACGAAGGAGTCAGAGGAAAGAACAGCCCGTGACGCTTTCGATGCTCCAGCAAGCTCTCCAGGTTCGCCAACAGCAAGCAGCAGATTACGGAATCCTTGCAGGGCACCCTTGCAAATCTTGGTGGACGTGTCGCGTAGGTCGAAGCCAATATGGGGGAACACGTCGAGAGGACCACCAAGCTGCTGGATGCGATGACCGACCGTCATTGCCATATGGAGCAGTCGGTCAACAAAGTCACTGCCAGCCATGCCGAACTCTGCAGGAGGCTTGAGATGTTGGAGAGGAAGTTTGCTACAGCCAGTTTTTCCGGGGGAAGCACCCGGACTTCAGAAGGGGGAACCTCCGAAGCTCTGCCTCGACCTGCCATCGTTGTTGGGGGGTGGGATGCCGAGCAAAGTTCGGAAGAGACTCTGCAGGCAGTCAAACAGCATCTCTCCGACCTTCGCTGCGACCTCGACCTCGACGACGCCTTTGTGCCAGGACTGCGCCGAGGTTTTGCCATCGTTCCCATCGAAGCCAGAGCGGGGAAAGCCACGAAGCTCTTCAAACAGTCCGTGCAGGTTACAGGCCAGACGCCCCAAGGCGGGGAACGCTATATGTGGGCAGCCATGAGTGAAAGCCCTGAACGCCGCCGACGCGTCTGATCCTGGAATCAGACGGGGAACGACGAAAGCTGCTAGTCGAATTCAGCACCGGGAATGTTTGGTACTCAGGGACCAAAATCGCCTCCGCCGTTATGATGGCGCCGGCGGATGCCGACACGCTTCCACTGTGGGCTGGCTATCCATGTAAGTGGGACGAGCTGAAGCTTCTCAAGTGAGACGAGGCTGTGTTTCACCCCGAGGTGCAGGACACCCACCTCGGGGATTTGCATGTGATTACTTGGAATGTGGGGGAGCTACTGTATCACCTGAATGTGCTCTCCAACTTCTCAGTGATCTTCGTAAAGACCGAATTCACCCTTTCGATGCCGTGTTTGTCGCATGCCTCCAAGAGATTGTGACCGACAAGGGCAAAACTGTTTTGGGACAAGTGGAAATCCAGATCATCGCTGGCAAGCAAGAGGAAGAATAATGGCGGGGGGCCGCCATTTTACACACGGATGTCTTTGAGCATGGCCGCATCAAGATGCTCAAGGCCGGCATCTGCGGAACTTTGACTCGCCATGACATGAGGATCGTGGTTGTGTCGGGTCACCTACCTCACCATGCAACTCTGAACGAGACGAGAGAGATCTTTGCAACATGGCGGCAACAACTTCGTGAAGGCAACAGAGCAATATTGGGACTGGACGCCAATGAAAGCCGCAGCCGATCCCGCAACGGGGGAGTACTCACAGAACGCTTCCGTGAGAGTCGAGCGTTGCGCCACCAACGCCGACTGGTCCTGGACATGGAGGCAGGAGCTGAGCGCAGAGCACAGTGGAAAGAAGTCGACAAGCAGCGGCGCCTCGAGCACAAAACCTGGAAGCACGACAAACTCATAAAGGCGGGGGAAGGTTTTTGGTCTTGCAAGCGAGCTATGGACGAGAGCAAAAACGCCACCTCCTGGGAACTACGCATGCGCAGTCAAGATCGCCTCAAGGCGGTCAGAACGAGGTGGAAAAACAGCAAGTCGTGTGGTCCCGACGGAATTTCGCACGAAGCCCTGAAGATCCTCGAGTACCACGACCGCTGACAAACCAAACTCCTCGAGATTTTCGGGGACATGCTGCGCACCCCCAAAAATCCCCGAGTCAATCGAACGGGGGACTACGGTCCTGCTAGCAAAGACTGGGCCTCCAGATTCATGGGGGGACACGCGCCTGATTGGTCGCGTGTCCCACTTGGTTCAAGCTCGCCTACAACGGACTCGTCGTTCATGCCAAGGCGTGGAACTGATACTCATCCTTCGCAGAATATGCCGAGTTGCACATGATTGGGGGATTCCTATGTTCTTGGCCAAATTGGATATACGACAAGCCTTCGACTCCATCTAGGAGGCCCTTGCAGAACAAATCGAACACGACCTTGGGAGGCTCGCGCATGGGCCGCACTGCTGGACGCACAGAACGTCGAGGTCTACTTCCGTGGGGAAAAGTTCCAAATCCCACAATCGAACGGGGTACGGCAGGGCTCTCCCGACAGTCCCATTGCCTTTGGTCGAATTGTGGCGAAAGACCTGGACCTCTCCACCCAGCAGGCCAAGGAGTCACTACAACGGGGGAACCTCCTCCTGAGTTCGGAGGATGCTTCATGGACGACAGTTACATTTGGTCCACGTCAGCAACATCTTCAAGCAATGCTGCGACAGCTGTGTAAGAACTTACCGGAAAAGGGTTTCGACGTGCACCCCCTCAAATCGTCGACAACCAATGTGGGGGAATCGAGTTCGATGTTGCGGGGAAGAAGGTCCTTTGGCCGAGATGCAGTCGCGAGCTCGCAAAGCTTTTGGCAAGCATAGGGGGGCCCTCATGTCCAAGGTGCCCCTCAAATCAAGCTTGCAGCTCCGCGCTATCCTTGTCCGACAGGCTGCACTTGGGGCTTGCGAAACCTGGCCATGTGTTGACTACGTCCTCCAATGTGCCAACAGCGTCCAGCTCTCCCAGACGAGAACGATGATGCACCTCGAACGTCGCGCCGTGCACGTTTAGCTCTCCATCAAGCCGGGGGACAAGGTGGTCAACACACATCTTGACCCAAATCTGGGGCCTGCATGCCGGTGGCGGCTGCGGTACTCAAGTGGGTCTTGGCAGCCCCTCCCTTCGTTCATTGTGCACGAGGCTCCAGGAGTCCACCAACACGAGCCGGAGCGCAATGCTGCTCCTGTGTTCGAGCTCGCCAACGATGAGACCGGAGCTCGCAATTGGGTGGTGGGGGTTGCTTGCGACGCTGAAATCAATGCCCGCCGCCAGCAGCGGCTTAGGCGCCTGCAAGAAGCTGAGCAAGCACGCGCAGCAAGCCCTCCACAGCAGCCCGGGGGAGCATGCAGCAGCCTGAACCTGACCCGCAGCCGCTGCAGACCGGGGAACATGCAAACCCACAAGCGACGAATGCTTGCAGAACACCTCCACGACATCCAGGGCTGAGGCCGCTCAAAGACCCGCGCGGGACACCTTGGGAGACCAGCCCTACTACACGATCCTCCGCATGCAGACCTGAGGGGAGGAATGTGAGCCGAGACTTCGCTGAGCTTTTTGGTCGTAGCATGGCTTCGCATGCTGAGGGTTTTTTTTGCCACGCCGTGTTACGTGTCGCGCCGTTGTTTTTGTTAGGTTCCTCTCTTGAGTTATCGATGCCATGCCACTTTGTACGTATGCACTACGAAACAATCCGCCTGTGTAGCATGAGATAACATGAGGGAATTGCTGCAACATGCCCTCGCCTTTCTTTACTTCGGCGTTTGGTGACCTGGGTTAAGGTTTCTACTCTTGTGCTTCGAAGGGGGGACATGTGAACAGTCGCAGCCCCGTTTCCTCTCATTCCTCGTTTCGGCGCGGGCCCCAGAGTGAAGTGCGTCTTAGTTGGTGTAGGTTCAGTTTAGGTTTGCAGTTGTTTTTCTGCATGGGGGACCGAAGCCGAACCTGAGTTTTCTTCACTGGGAACCTCCCCTGACGCCACATGTCCCGGAAGTGCCTTGGGTTCTTAATCCTTCTTATAACAGGAGTCTTTGTTTTGAGGTGTCCAAATGCTGTGCACTGAGCTTGGGGGACAGAGCTAACATGACGATGGTTGCCATCTTGTTTTGCATGCTCGTGCTATCTTCCGTTTATGTTGCTCTGTTCCGTCCGAGTTGAACTTATCACAGTCAAAGCCCCATAACACATGGGGGGCCCATGTGGCCGAGGGACCTTAACAGTCCCTCATGCCCAGTGGAAGAAGAGAGAGAGAGAGAGAGAGAGAGAGAGAGAGAGAGAGAGAGCGAGCGAGCGAGCGAGCGAGCGAGCGAGCGAGCAGACCAGGATATTCAGTGCGCGTATGCGGACGGGTGGCGCAAGTGCTCCTCTGTGCGGAAGAAGAAAGAGATAGATAGTAACAGATAGTACAGCCGCCGCATCTCGAGCAACCTAATGAGTGTCGCAAGGAAGTGAATTCTCAGAGCACACACTGACTGGATTTGACTGGTTACCCTCGATTGGTTTTTGCACCAATTGCATACTGGGAGATGGGAACGGATGGAACGGGTTCCACTGTCCTTTACAGGCATGGAAGTTCGCATAGGAGACACTAATAGACACTATGTGCGCAGGGGTTAACTATGGTGAACCTGAGCTCAGCCCACAACTGAAGTTAAGGTCGTAGCTTACGCTGGCGCAGCGGAGAAGGCCGAATCAATGCAGAAGCTACTCTTGATGGTTCTGCCATCTAGTGCCATTGATTTGCGGGGCTTGATTTGTGCAGCGTGATAGCAGTCACAGAATGCAGCCACCTCATGCGACTCAAAAGCTTTCAGACAACTTTCACGAAGTGCAGTCCAGCAATCACATTCTCGAAGTCGATAGACTAGACAAGGCCAGACCATAAACTCACAAAAGTTGCGTGCATTTTTTTCCGCATCGGTGGAGCCACCTTCGACCTCGCAACAGAGGCGATTCTCTACCCGAAAGAAGTTCTGGGACGAGAGTTGGCATCGGCCTCGGATTTTATGTTCCACTGTTCCATACTGTTCCACTGATGTCAAGCTGCGCGCTGTAGTTATGCAGCCTTCGTACTCGTAGGCTTGTAGGCTTGTAGGGCTGTGGAAATTCCTATACCTGACTGGTTCCGCTGCTTGGACCAGGTGTGTTCTTGAACAGTCCTGTCCCTAGTCTTTGTCACGAACGCCTTGCAGGCTCAGCGCGACCTCACCAAATGGCTACAACAGATCCAGGCCGCAATCTGCTGGATTTCAGGAGTTTCACTTGCCTGCCGCGTTGCCCCAACCGACTATAGCTATCAAAAGATCTAAGCCACAGAAGCTCTCGAGCCCCAGAACTCATGCCGACCAAGGCCATCTCCGACCCCAGCCATCTTGGCGAGGACTACTCCGCGGCTCTTGTGTGTCGGAAGGCAGGTTTTGTTAAGGGAACGTTGAAGCCATGAACGCTCATTGCTGCAATTCTGTAGTAACAACATTGGCATTTGGCGCTCATTGCCTTTTTTGCAATGCTAGCTAGTTGCTGCTAGTCTTCGGCGCTGGATGGAGCGTTGCTTTTGCGCAGAGCGTGCGAGGACGGAGGTGGCTCCCACACGGTGTGCACAGCTGAGTTCACTTGCCGTGCTCCGACTCTTCAGACACATCATGCATCTGCATCGGCATGGCAACGGGCCTGCACTTTGGGCAAAGCCGTCGCTGCCCAGGCTTCGAGGCTCCATTTCGGCCTTGCCGGATCCCGAAGAGGACAAGTTGGCCTGGATCATCTTTCCGCACTGCTGCCGGTCGTGGCTTGAGCAGAAAGGCATCCACCGGTCTAACTCAGCTTCATGCGGTGGCTAACTTAAGCCGCAGGCCTTGAGTCACTCGACGAAATGAGGCCATCTGTTACTGCTGACAGTGCCGTTCATGAAGCATTTTCCGTTCAACCCAAAGGGTACCTGATAGGATGTGCTGCACCTGAATCCCCGGCCTTATCGTCCCACACTCTTCAAGTCAATCTCCGCCGAAAGCCAGAGGAGCGGACCGGGCCAAAAGGATTCATAGGCCAACTCCAGGGCTTCGAGTTGGTCTTCTTTCGGCATGGGCTTAGGTCTTAATATTGGAGGGTGTAACTGTCGGGTTTAGGAGTGTCAGTGTTTGATTCAGCTTGGCTTTTGTGGTAGACTGCTTCAAGATTTTTGGGTAGTGACATCAGTGACATG